AACAAGTTCAGCAGCTCAGCGGTTTAACTTACTGCGCCACCGCAGGCTCCAAGTCCTGTAATATCCTGTGCTAAGTCTTTCTGCAAAAGCTAAGGCGTTGCTATCCGTTTACAAAAGAAGTTGGCTTGCCAAGCTGTACCTGAATGATAAGGAGAAAGGAATGAGAGCCAACATAACAAAGTTTGCTGGCAGGTTTAGCCAAAATCAACAAGCTCTCTGTTGACCTGATATGGCAGTACAGTTAAAATAACTGGCTGATTTTCCCCATATCAAAAACAACATAAAGTCCCGTGACACCCTACAAGGTTACTAGATTCATTATGGCACCAGTTTGTTTTTATTAGTGTCCACTTCATCAGATGCATGGTGCATTATTCTTATTTGGAAGATCTTCCTGTGTGCCCAGTCTACTCATGCAACAGAACAGAATGGTAGGAAGCTCAGGTTGGACTATTCAAGTTGCAGGTCATAGTTCTTCATATTCACCTACATTAAAAATTACATGCATGTGGAAAAGCAGAACAGCCCACAGTAAGTTAGAATCAATACATTCCCCCCAAACTATGCTGAATGTATATTGCAGACATGTGCTTATTTAATCTGGAGGAATATCCAAAACTCAGAGTCCCTCAAAAAACCTGTCATCTCATGTGACACAATCTATTCTACTAACTTGTTCACCTCCATGCATGGACCGGAAAGTAAATCATAGCCATTTGGTCCCACTGTTTCCTTTTTTGTATAGGGCCTTTCCCCTTCTTTCCTATTCCTGGAAACTGCTTTTCTGCAAGGTTATTTCATCAGAGGTCAAAGCAGAATACCTTTAAAAATAGTTCAGCAACCTAAGCAATTGATTATATTTTAAGTAGCCAAATATTTGATGAGAATGACATGGCCCTGAAAAACCTTGTGTGAGCATGTTTTTTCACCTCCAAAGATAGGGAAAACATGCACAGCTCCCTTGGCAAATCCTTTTGTAAACATTGGCAGGAGGGGAGAGGGTCTGACCATTTTGCTCTCTGTCCTTTGCATGGATTACTCATTTACGTGGCTGGATCAGCCCCTTTTTTTGCATTGCAACTCTAGTGACCATGTTGGCGGTAAGATATGGAAGTTGTGGCCCAAATAGGTAACATATCTAATTTCTGGTGTAGCTTCCCCCCCCCCCCCAAAAAAAAAAAAGGACACACATAATGGGAATAGTGTTTTGTGGAGGAGAGCATATTCCATTTTCTACTCTTTTTTCATGTCAGGGGCAACTTGAGGAACTGCAAATCACTTCTGGTGCGAGAGAATGGCTGTCTTCTCATTTTCTTTCTTGGTTTATATCTTTGCTTTCAAATTGGGACCCAAGCAGATTTGTTAAAATGTGTATACACCATATGATATCTTTAGATTCATCCAGCAATTGGTGTCTGGCCCAGAAGGTGCTATGGTGCAATTTCTGCCATTTTAAGCCTTTTAAGCAGGTTTTGGGGTACCTTCCAAAACTGCCATTCCTGGAACCTCTTCTCTCCAGAAGTGGAAGCAATCAATTTTTTTAGAGCAGTCGGCTTCAAGGCTTGGAATAATGCCTTTGGTGCAGAGGCCACATATGGTCCACAGGGTGTACTTCGCCTTTGCTTTAAAACAATCTCCAGGTGTTTTGAACTTCAGCTCCCAGAATTCCTGATCATTGGACAAGCTGGCTAGGGTTTCTGGGAATTGGAGTCCAAACACCTGGAGGCCCACAGGTTGTGCAGGTCTGGTTTAAACCAATGGGCATAGTTACTGCATTTCTTGTTTTAAGAATTTTATTTTAAAATGGAACCATGGCATCATATTCAGCAGAGTTGATGGAAGGGACAACATAGGGCACCACTCCCAATGTGACCACATGGTGTTTCACCATAATAGAGATGAGATAAAATTCAGAATGGAGAAATGTTTGAACAGTAGACACTATTCTGAGAGTTGGGGGTTTTTCAATCCCTCTCTGACTGAGAGAGATTTCAATTGCTCAGGAGATGAAAGCAGGCAGGAGAGCCCTTCTTCGTTCTCAAATAAACATTTCCAAGCATTCAAATGCTTTTTTTAAAAAAGCTGTTGCTGGGGATTCAAAGCTTTTATCACTTCACAACAAGCTGTCAGATGGTCTTCCCACCCATAATAATCGCCAAGGGAAAGGGAAACTGACTAGACAATAAAAATTTATTAGAATTTTCAAGCATTTGTATGAGGCTGCAAAGATTCCTGGAGGCTAGAAGTTTCACATTTGCACATCACTTTTATAAATGAAGAGTAGTCCTCTTCCCCTACTCCACGCTCCCATGACGCCATTGTATTTTATTGGAACAGCAATCAGAGTCCAGCATGAGTCCTGAATCCAGGGGGGCAATGTGTTCTCACCCCTGAGATGGACCTTCCCTGTCAAGTTGGTCATTAATAGATCCACAGTGAAAGGAAGTGTATAATAGAAGGTAGCGATATTCATTTCAGAAAAGATTTAAACTGTTCAATTAAGAATGAGGTCCTCAATTTTTTTTGGTTGTTGTTGTTGTTGTTGTTGTTTTGTCGTGTCAGGAGCGACCTGAGAAACTGCAAGTCGCTTCTAGTGTGAGAGAATTGGCCGTCTGCAAGGACGTTGCCCAGGGGACGCCTGGATGATTTGATGTTTTATCATCCTTGTGGGAGGCTTCTCTCATGTCCCTGCATGAGGAGCTGGAGCTGATAGAGGGAGCTTATCCACCTCTCCCCGGATTCGAACCTGTGACCTGTAGGTCTTCAGTCCTGCTAGCACAGGGGTTTAACCCACTGCACCACCGAGGGCTCCATGACACCACAGTGTCACGGTCCTCAGTGACACAACAGCATTTCAAATCCAATTTATTTATATTGTGGTTACACCTATGAGTTTCCTTCTGACAAAAATTGGGATTGTTATGATTTGATTGTGAGAGCCCTTTATTATGACTGGTAAGCTATCATAGTATGTTTTCTTCCTGCCCAGCCCTCCTCTTCCTGTTATTAAAGTGATAAGAAGGACCTCTGATTCGGAACTCAATTCAACAATTTAAGCAGTGAAGGTGAACTCTGCAGAAATCAGAGAATATGTCTTCCAGGAGTAATAGCAGAATAAAAAGCAGGAATCCATCCCAGGTGTAGCTGGAATTATTTCTTCCTCCCAAGTTTTTTGCAGGAAGGTGAACCTGAAAGTGTCTAGCCTCCTCATGTACTTGTACTGTTGTTTTGTGTTGGTTGATTCCATAGTTGAAATGTTCATTTCATGATTGCTCAAATCTCTGAAAGTTATCACAGTGTCGTTGTCCTTATAGCATTCTGACATACTTTTTTCTTACATTAGACTTATTTGGGTGTTACTCCTATTGGTTTCCCTAATTCCCAAGTAGGGATGTATGCAGCTGTGCCCTACTCTTTCCCATGGTTAGTCTCATGTAGCAAGGACCCTGAAAAATTGATATTTTTGTTTTCGTGGAGAGTATCCATGCAGTCACAAACTGCTCTTCTTCAGGGCCCATCCAGACAGTACCTTTCTATCAGGAACTTCTGCAGAACTTCTGCAGCAAACAGGAGGGTGCCCAGATGGCATTTCGTCAAAATGCGGAAGGAAGCGTGAGATTTTCAGGTGCGGGAATATCCTGATTCTGAGATATGCATTTTTTAATGTCTGGGTATGTTTTTGGGTTTTAGATGTCTGTTCCTGATTGGTCGGTTCCTAAAAAGAAGGTGACAGTTGAGTAGAAGGTGAAAAGTTTGTTTCTGCGCCAGAAACTTCAAGAAATGTGTGGAGGGCACATTTTCTCTGGCCAGGACAAAGTTTTAGCTTCATAGTCAATGTTGTACATCTTTGCACAATAAGAGCAATCAGGAACAGACATGTATAGCCCAAGAACAATAACCTGTCTGTACAGATAGCCCTGCAGCTTATATAACCCAGGAACGGAACTTATACAATGATTCGCATGTTCACATCTTAAGTTTTTTTTAAAAAATCCAAATTTTCCAGCGGAAGTCCCACTGAAGCCATTTTGGGTGATGTAAAATTCCACAATAAAGCAGCAAGTGTGGACAATGGAGGAAGAAATCCTGGGACCAACAGGTCTGTATCTGGACATCTTCTCAGGTCCCGGGTTTTTTTACCACAACTAAAGCACGCAATTTAGTGCTGTCTGGAACTGCCCTCAGACACCTCAATTTATATGTGAGCAAATAAAGAGCTGGGGCTAGGTGGTCCCTTGCTCATATGTGGATCAAGGTGAGTAAATGTGAATGTGGCTAAAGTTCATGGTCCAATATTCACATCTTACCTTTTTCCATCAAAACATGACCAAAGGAATACAGAAGTAGAGGAATGATTATTGTGTCAGGGTATAGAATATGTGTGTGTCTTCGGATAGAGAAAGTCTATACATGATTGAAGGAAGCTAAACATGCATGAACTATCCAGTAAAGAAATTCCATAGAATATAGCAGCTCTGCATTTAGACGACATCATCCAACAATTCAGGTCTCATCTTAGGGGAGTGAGCTGATGTCAGCAAAAAAATTGCTCCTTTTTTTGGATGAAATTATCCCATTATTCCTTTTTAGGAGCAAATTATTCACATGTGGAACAACAGGAAACTGTCTTCTTTTCCTGCTCCAAAGTCTGTTCCAGTTTTGGCTGCAGTATTTCTGTAGAAATAGTCCCTGAAGTATTTGCTGCTCAGCTGATGTGGCTCTTGACAGTTCAGCATTATCTTGTTCTGCTTCAGAGAGCACAACCAAATGACTTGGGATTTTGTAACCTTGAAGAATGTAGTTTTAACACTTTCTTCTCTCATCACTGCAACCACAGAATTTGTCTTTAAAACTATACAGTAAAACACTGTTATCGGTGTGCATTCTCTTCATTCAGCCTCTCTCTCTTTCAGCCTGATCCAGATGGAGTGTAAATTAACTTGAAATAAAAGGATAGAAATCTAAATGTTAATGTGAAACCTGTCTTGTTTATTTTTCAGCTCCCAAGAGGATGAAAGGCCTATGTCACCCTTCTATCTGAGGTATTTACTTCTATTTCTTTATTTATATTCTTTCTTAGAAGAGGTGGAACTACAAAAAGCAATGCATAAAGTGATTAAAAGGGTTTTTCCAAAGTTCCTTTAGCATTATGTCTGGAAGCAAATCCCATTAAAACTATCATTTCTTAGCCAGTGAAATGATGGTCTGTACCATCAGTAAGGAAAAAAAGAATGTATTTTCCCCAACAAAATATAATAAACAATGGAGAATGTTGCAGCAAGATATGGCATTGGCCCTGTTCTGTATTTTCACACAAAGGCATAAATGCTATTGTTTGTTACTCCTGATTAGAGTAAGGACATTGAATCCATTTTACCAAAATTTGCCTTCACCATAGACACGTCTTTAGATGGCAGCTTTACTGTTTACTATCTTGATGATGTTTTGTTGTAAGCCACGTGGAACTCTTGGCAGCTGTAGTTGAAGAAACATTCTTCCATAAACTTAACTAATTACATAAAATCCATACAACATGTTCTTTCCCCTCCATAATAGGCTGGTTACACAACAAGATTTCTGTGCCAGGGTTTTGTATGGTACATATGAAGGCATGGCAATCTAGAGGTCTTTGGGTTTGTTTGCTTTTGATCGCTTTAGTAATGAGCTCGTTTCTGGAACAGCACCGAGGGAAATAATCTCATAGTGGCAATGCTGTGCGAATGGGCCATGGAAATGGAGTGGGAGTGTGCCTAATATAGCAGTGCCTATTAATTAAGGCAAGGCAGAGATCTAGTTTGGTGAACACCATTCCTATATGCATGGCTCATTTCTTTTTATTATCTCACAGAGCTGTATAACATCCCCCTGGGTGCATTTAAGTAGCTTGTTCTTTCCATTTTTGTTATTCAATAGAAGTGTGTGCCATTGATTTGCCAAGAGGAGTTGATTTCGCAGGAGAAATTGATTTCGCAGGAATGGGTACGAAAAAGGAAATTCCATCTAAATATTAACAAGAACTTGTTTTACTGTAAATCTGTTTGTCAGTGAAATAGTTTGCTTCAGAGATGGTGGACTCTCCATCCTTGGAGGCATTTAAACAGAGGTTGGGTGGACATCTTCCAGGAGTACTTTAGTTGTCCGTTCCTGGATTGGAGGAGGTTAGTCTGGATGACCCATGGGATCCCTTCCCTGTTTTACTCTACCCTGCTCAAAAGTTGGCATTTGGCTGTTCGAGAGGTCTTGTGATGAGAGGCAGATGGTCTCCCTAAAGTTACTTCTGTCGTAGTTCAAAGATCAAAGGGGGAAACTGCCTCAAGGAATCCATGCCAGAAGTTGTTTTGCTCGATACTACTCTCCCCTCACACTACCCCATTGTTTTTCTGGCTTCCTTGCCAGTCAAATTTGCTTTGATACAAACTTATTTATGTGTTAGAACAACTGAGCAATTAATGTAAACACATGGAGGATGTGGGCTGCAACTTGTATACAGCACAATGAGTCCAGTATTTAAGAGCAGACTGTTATGTAACATCTCGGGTGGATGCAAACAAGGGCTGTCCAGATTCCTGGGACTGCACAATGATTGATACTTGCCAATTAGCAGGAACATGAGGTATAGTTCAGTTTTCCATTTTGTTAGCTATGCTGCAAATGTTACAGAGTTTTTGATGAACGCAGTGACTTTTGTGTATTCCTTGTGAACTCCTTTTCTCTCATCTCAGTCTCAGCAAAGGAATGCAACCTGAAGATCTAATTCAAACAAAAGGACTTTAGACAGGATGCTCATTGACCTTTAGCTACCTGAAATCCCTTTTAGTTTTGGGTTATGTATGGATTGGGATCTTACATTATGTTGCATATGATATATCCCTCGATGGATTGTCACATTGTCCTGTGTTCGGGGCGCTCACTGTCTGTGTTGTCCAACAGTGTCCATATACTCCATATTCCAAAGTCCAATTATCTTTTTTGGCCGCAGGGTGGTGACAAAAGTCAGATACAGTCAGTCCTCTGTATCCACAGATTCCACTATCCATGACTTGAAAGTATCTCCCCCCCCCCCCCCCCCCGAAAAAAACTAAAGCAAGCCTTGATTTTGCCACTTTATATAAGGGACACCATTTTACTGTCTATTATATATAATTGAATTTGAGCATCATGGATTTTAGTATTCATGAAGGTCCTGGAACCAAACTGGTGGTTACTGAGGGCCCATGGTATTTAAGCATGTACTGCATCTCTATTCAAATCACTTTTCCTGCATACTTCATGACATACTGGTTGCACCATAAAACAGACCTTCAAAGTTCTGAGGGTTGCAGAAGCTTTGACAATTCTTGACCGCAGGATATTGCACCATGAGCCAAACAAATGGTCTAGTTTCTAATATACCACCAAGGTCAAAGCAGTTGGCAAACTAACAGAGGGGGATATATTTGTGAGATATAGCGTGCTCCCTTGTTGTAGCATTACAGCTGTGTGTTGAAAATATCAGCCACGTTTCTCCAAAGGAGGCACAGATCAGGGAAATAGTCTCCTTGCTTTATTTATTTATTTATTTATTTATTTATTTATTTATTTATTTATTTACTATATTTGTATACCACCCTTCTCAGCCTGCAGGCGACTCAGGGCGGTTTACAGAGGCAACAATTCAATGCCAAACAACACCATAAAAATTTAAAAACTAACATATAATATAAAATCATAACAAGATCAATAAAACATAAATCATTTACGTATTTTAGTTAAAAATGTTGACCAATCTCATCATCCAGTCGTTCCATATTCCTATGTCTGTCTGTCAATTCTTACTTACTTACTTAGGCAATCCCTCAAATCCCAAGCATGATGGTCCTCCACGTATAGTGTCTTGGCAGTGGGTCCATAGGTGGCTATAGAGCCCTATTCTTGATCCACATGTTCTCCCACAGTGAGGACTTGGGTTTCCAGATGGAAGTCAGTCACAGTCAGGGTTGGCTTGACATGCCTTCCTCTTGGCATATTTCTCCCTTTCGCCCTACATTCGTGCTTCTTCAAATTCTGCAGCACTGCTGGTCACAGCTGACCTCCAGTTCGAGCATTCAAGGGCCAGGGCTCTACAGTTTTCGGTGTCTATGCCACAATTTTTAAGGTTGGCTTTAAGCCCATCTTTAAATCTCTTTTCCTGTCCACCAACATTACATTTCCTATTCTTGAGTTGTCAAGTCTAGATAGAAGGAGTTCAATGAACAAACAGTGTGATCTATCAGTACACACTTGGGCTTCGTTTGCCTTAAGTTACTGTAGGCAGCCTCACTAATACCAAGGTTGCTTTTACCAGGAGTCATAGACTAAGTACATGGTATTGTTTCTGTGTGTTTTCAAGTTGTTTTCAGCATATAGCAACCCTCAGGAAAACTTATCATGGAGTTGTCTTGGTACAATTTCTTCAGATGAGGTTACTCATACCTTTGTTTGAGGCAGAGAGTAAGATTTGCCCAAAATCGCTCAGTGGGTTTCCATGGCTCAGTAGAGTCCTAATCCAACACCAGTTCTATGCACCAAACACCTAAAGGTCCGCCTGGCATCCTTTTAGAAAAGTTCTATCCTCCTTAAGCAGCATTTACATGGAGAGGAAGTAGATCAGGGAAAGAGTGTTTCATCTTTTCTCTGCTCACTATTTCTTTTACTCAATAACCCCCATCTCTTTTTAAAGTTTCTTTGTTATTAAAAGGTTTTTTTCCTTTTGAAAAACAACATCTGTGTCTCTTTGGAGGCAGTGAAGACTCTGGATGCATTAGTAACTTCTACATCATAATGTCATACCACCAAGAGCATGAATATTTAAATATGAATGATGTTATGCATGATAAACACCTTCCCATCATTCTGAACCTCTGGGGTCTCAGAGCTTAGCAATGGCATGAAGGTAAAACAAAGAATTATGTATTAATGCATAGCTCTGTTCCGAAAAATGTTTAGCAGATGATTTTTTCAAACTCAGCCTTCATATAGTTTTAAAAGCTATTGTCAGAATTAAAAATGGATGCATCCAATCATAACCACAAGTTAAGAATAAACCACAATAATTAGAACTATATAAACCATGACCTAGCCTATAAAGATAAAGGCTTAGTGCGCCCACTTATCTCTTATCGTCCTTGCATATCTGCAAAGTTGTGACTCTATTTCCCAACAACTCTAATCTCTTAAATTCTTGTTGTAATCCTGATCCACAAAGAGACCTGTGGCACCATAAAGGTGAACCTTCTTGGACAGCTGCTCACTTGATGCAAGATACAAATTTTAGTCATGCAGTTCATACATCTTAAAAACCCTTTAAAGTCTTTGTTCCCTCCTTTCATCACTGGTTAACTGTTCTCTCCTTCTGCTTCTCATTCATCACAATTAGACATGCTGATTGAAAATACCTGGAATAATTCACTGAAGACAAAACATTATTCTAAATTTCATAACTCAGTTGTGGGAGTACTTTGGGTAATGGTTCACTGTGGTCCCAGTTCTTTTGATTTCTTTGGAGGTCATGGTTGAATGTCAGAATGAGCAATGCAGAAAACATCCTTGATCACGTCTACCATTCTTCAGTTCTGTCATTTCCATGAAAGCCGTTTCTCTCCTAGAACACATTTGTGCATTTAACCATGTCATTAAGTGCAATCCTTTAATTGGTTAAAGAAAAGAGGGAGGAATGTGACTAAGTAAATAGTTCCTATTTCTAGTTGGATTGGCTTTGTTATGGTTATATGCATTAAGGTATGACAATTCTATGAATGAGACATCTCCAAGGGAACCTGTTATTAACAGCACTGCTCAGGGTTAGCTTTCTGTATATCAAAACTAGAAGCCTTATAAACATGAAGCATCAAAACAAATTGGCGGTTTGGTCACAACGTGAAAAAGCTTCTGTCTTTGGTCTGCTCAGAGAAGCAGATTGATCTGTAGGCATTATCTCTGTGTTGTGAAAAAGTCTCAGCTCTTTATATTGTATCAAGTTGCCATTAAAGGGAACAAGCCTAGAAGGTGCCAGGGTTATTTCCTG